TGTTCAGTTGTACTGTTTTAACACATCGGGTCAAATTCACTGCTCAATTTCAATTTTCAGAATAAATAGTGTTTGCAGTAATCAAATTGGCTTCTGTTTTCAATCTAACTTACAGTTTCTTCATGAAATGCTATGTCGTTTTATGTCCTGTGTCAGTTCACATTCTGGTCCACCTTTTTCAATATTTTAGTGGACCCTGAAATATGTGTGATGTAACAATTGTCATTTTCATTAGCAAAAAAAGTTGTATGATCTGTGCCTTTTTTATATCTTGGCAGGTAGGAATATTATATTTGAATGCAGAAATCAGGGAAGATGAGTTGGTAACACTAAATGTAAAATATATGTAGCAATCCTTGTCAGACGTTAGTACTTTATAGACAAGTGCATGCTTTCCATAATTTTTCCTTACATAAACATTGAGTTAGGCAGTTATAAGAATAGGAAATTTATTTTGCACTGAAGATTTGGCAAATAGTGAAAAAAGGTTGTAATTTTTTTCCTTTGTAGGCAGTACAGGAGGTTTTTTCTTTTTTTCTTTTTTTTTTTTTTTAATAAAATATAATAAAAAAAACCCTTTCCATTGTGGAAAACTAAAAAAAATAAAAATAAGAAAAAACTCGTTGTTACTGAGGGAACAAGCGTAATGTGTTCACAAGCTAGTAATGTGTGCCTGCTATTTGGCCAGATGACCAGTTTAAAGCACTGATGTTTTTCATCCTCCCAGATTTTTTTTGAATTGCTTATTTTAGTTCAGGGGCCATCTCAGGAGAGGTAGGAAGAAAATGACCATATGTAATGAATGCCCTGGAAAGTACAGATACAGTAGTTGGAGATACTGGAGGTAGAAAAAAAATTCATCATATTTTGAGGTACAAGGTCTGAATTACCAGCCCATTCTAAGGAGTCATGGTATTTGATCCAAAGTACAGTTGTACACCTGGGAAGTGGTGGAGGAAGCTGTGCTTTCTTTTATTTTGGATCATAAATTGACTTACTGAGCAAAACTGTATAAGGACCTTCATTTTAATCCATTTTTATTCAGATTGCTCCAGAAGGAGAGCCGCTGTTTATGTACAGACTTGTACAAACTTGATCTGATGTATTTTGTGAGTTTTGTTTCTTTGCTTTTTTCATTCTTTTTTTTTCTTGCATACAGGTGAGCATACTAAAAATGGCAACGAACTGCACATGATTTAACAAATATAAAAATGTCTTAAAAAGTATTGCCAAACATTAATGTTGATTTCTAGTTATTTATTTTGGGAATGTATAGTATTTGAAAACAGAAATTGGTACCTTGCACACATCATCTGTAAGCTGTTTGGTTTAAAATACTGTAGATAATTAACCAAGGTAGATTGACCTTGTAATGTAACTGCTCTTGGGCAATATTCTCTGTACATATTAGCTACAACAGATCGGATTTTATGTTGACATTTGTTTGGTTATAGTGCAATATATTTTGTATGCAAGCAGTTTCAATAAAGTTTGATCTTCCTCTGCTAACTGATGTTGATGCAATCCTTATAAATGATTGCTTTTAAAAATCTCAACTTACAGAAAGTAGGAAAAAAAGTATTCCTTTATTTAGATTTTAATGGCAGCCATTGTTTGTTTACACATTTCAGAAGACTTTTAAAATATTACCAGTTTTTAAAACTATGGCACATAATGCTCAAGAAAACACAATCTCATTATAAAATGGTACAGTACCTATTGAGTTGTCACACTACGTGCACTGTATTTCTCACATTCAGTGGTTGAGTTCACTAAGGTGCTAACTAGGTTAAAATGTGAAGTTACTAAACCAGTCTGACTCATTAGCTGCATTCCATTTTCAAGTGCATTTTGGGGTTATGACCTTCAGTATTTGTGTGCTTAACATGTATCCCTTTCAATTCATATTGCAGTGGTTTTAAATGTTACGAAATTTCAACAAATTAAACTGTGAATCTAAATGTACAATCTTATTTTGAAAAGTCATGTTGTTACAAAACTTGAAAGTGCAACGAATGTCTGATGCTTAAGTTCAGGTTCATCCTATTGGTAACTTATAAAGTATGGTCTAATGAATTAAAATTATTTTTTAAATAAAGTACTTTCAAAAGAGTGAGAGGTATTTGTGGATGATGCCGAAGTCTAAATTCAATAGGGTTAAGCTCAAAGCCTATAAATTAACAAATGCTTAAAAAACAGGAAGTTTGTGTTTTCTTTCTGTACTAAATGTGTTTTTGTTAATGAAGGTGGGAAGTTAAGATTTTTCAGAGTTGGTATAAAACCTTAGCAAGGGGGAAAAGAAATAATGTTTGTGTACAGCTTCTTTGGAACACAGATTAAAAATCTCTGAACGTTCATGAGCTCAAGAAGCAACTAAGTTTAGTTTCTTGAATACAGAAGTTATTTAAATTACTTATCTCTGTATCGGCTTTTTCAGCCATTTGTGTCTATAATATTAAGTACTGTACACCATGCTTGTTTTCAACAATCCAGAAACAAAATTAAGCACTGTATGACACTGAGCATGGGCTATGTGTTCTTTGTGGGAGGACTTACTGTGAAAGATGACTTGCTTTCCTGAACTACAGTATGTTTCCCTGCAGAACCCTCCAGTGTTGACATTAAAAGGCAATAGATTAATTAGGTTCCAATGAGAGTTCTTCAGTCACTTCAGGAACCCTGCTGTATAATTATGGTAAGTGGCATTTGGTATTAATCTGCAAGAGGAAAGGTGGATCTCAAATTTTGTTATCCTGTGTATTTTTAAAGATTCTGTGTATTTCCAGAAACAGTAAGATTTGTAGTTGAATACCTGATGGGGGGAGATGGTGATGCTAGTTTTGGTGGGTACTTTAAAGATCAGTACTTTGGTTTTCATCCTAAGTGATGCTAGTCAATGTCTTTTCCATCTGTGTTCACATCCATAATAGTCAGGGTGACTAGAACTTTTAATTCCTTGACAGTGTAAGTCAGCTTTACCCGTGTTGTGAGCAGTGGGGTTAGTTCTTTAGTGGTCTGAATAAATTCCAGTTTAATCTGCAAAGTTCTCCTTGCCAAAGTTTGACTAGGCTTAAGTGTGGTACTACAATACCTCTTTAATTTTCAACAGTTTGAGTCTGCTGCAGCAGACTCTGGATCTTTGGCGTGCATCAAGGGATGGATCTTCTTTACTGCTTTTAACAGTTTTTCAAAATGTATCCCATGTGTCAGTCCTGCTTTCATGATTATGGCGGTCATCAATCTTGAGCAGTTTGTGAAGATAAATAATTTCTACTAATCCATAAATACAAATAGTTGCCACTTCATGTTGTTGAAAGTTTCTTTGCAGTAGACTTCAAAGTAGTAATTTTTGTGTGCTTTGAGTGCTGTATGGAAGTGGATAATAAAAAACATCAGCAATCATAGAATGGGTTGGGTTGGAAGGGACCATAAAGCTCATCTGGTTCCAACCCTTGCTACAGGCAGGGACAATTCCACTGCAGCAGGTTGCTCCAAGCCCTGTCCAACCTGGCCTTGAATGCTGCCACTGATGGGGCAGCCATAGCTTCTCCGGGCAACCTATGCCACTGCCTCACCACCCTCACTGGGAAGAACTTACCCATAGGTGATTGGTTTGTGCTTCTGCTCAGGGTTCAATAGAACAAGACTTTCTTAATATTTTTTTTTGCACAGAATATAAGAAACCAATTTCCCATGGAGTTAATTTAAAGCAAAGAAAAAAAAAATCCCGTTAACATAGTCCGTATAAAGGACCAGGAGCTCAACTCTGCTGCAGAAAGGGTGTAACAGAATCATTTAGGGAGATTTGGGTTACTTGATGTGCTTTCTTTTTTTTGGCTAGTGGACTTAGGCTGAGCCTTAGGCATAGAGTAGAGTTAAAACAAGGAGAGTAACCAGCCCAAAAGGTAATAAAAAGAAAATTTAGTGGTCAATGTGGGGGCAATTTTCTTGATGTCTTGTTAGTCCGAAAAGTCCATTATTTGTGTATCAGAAGTGCATCACACTATATGCAGTGTTCCAAGAGAGGAAGCAATATGGAAGATCTTAAGTTGCATGTGAAATCATATGCTTCAGAAAATGAAGAATGTTTGTTCTATACGAGGCACATTTCTAAGTATCTTCTTATTGGTGCTGTTGAGAGTGGCTGTGTCTAGTCTGCATATAGAATGAAACAAATTGAGGACACTGCATTGTTGCTTATATCGGTGAGCTAATGCTGCATGCAAATTAGGTTAAAAGGAATCGCCATTTAAATTTGTTATTCAAAGAAAAAAACAACCAACCACAACATTTACATGTGAATATATAGTGAATGCATAGCAAAAACATAGCTTTTGGTCAAGGTTTCTTACCAGATCAGATGGCTCTTATAGGATACTTCTTTTCTGAAACAGAAGTTGTTCTAGGTAGTTCTAGGAGAACTGCTGATTTTTAGGGCATCTGAGTTCACTTTAGGTTTCTGTATTTGTAAAACCTTGTGCCTAGTCTGTGCAAAGAGCCTCCAGAAAAGAAACTGAAATATTACAGCTTTGTGTTAGGATGCGCCGATACTTGGTGAATCTGTGGGGTGATCCCATTACCTGATTAATTCATGTTTAATAAATTATTGGGAAGCTAACTTAAGATCTCTTAACCAAATCTTGTTCTGAGGAGTGAGTGTATTTTGATGTCCTGAGGTATCTACTGCCTAGCCTGCAACTGTGTAGTGTTTGCGCACTGAAATGTGATTGGTAGTAGCATAAATTTGGTTTAAATTTAGTGAATTAAAAGATTAAGAGACGTAACTGTCTTGGGAAGGAAGGGGGACTGATTTATTTCAGACTGCGTGTGCAGCTTTCTTCTGGCCTGGCTGTTGATGCATTTATCACATTGGTACTGTTGATTCTGAGCTGCGTCATAGCAACAGGGAGCTCATTGTGATGAGCTTTGATTCCATGTTGTGTGAAACAAGTCTGTAGTTGTATTCTGGATAGCTGTAGTCTTCCTGTTCCAAGAGTAGCAGAGGCGACAGCAAAAGGAGTATGTAATGCGGAAAACTGGAATTGTTTCTTTATCTCATTTTATTTCTCCCATGAGGTGTTGTCCTGTATGGCATTAGACATTAATAGGTATCTTGGCAAACATGATTTTTGTCCTCTTAAGAAATAATTTCACATTTACCTACCAAAGCAAAGTTGCTCTGTGGGACAGAGCATGTCTGTATCTTGCTTTGGAGAGCAGGTGCCTTCTAATGGCAGGAAAGCTTTCCTCATTTAGCAGGAGTGAGAGGAATCAGACCCCTTAAAGACTAATACCTTTGTAAAATGTCATCTTTTTCCTTGTGTAGCACTTTGGAAAGGGGGGTTGTTCTCCTTCACCAGTCCTAGCAAAATAATCTCTAGGTTTAAACTGTCTTAACTAAATACACGTGATAATGATAAAAAGATCTTTCTAGAGGTAACAACAGGAGCAGCAGGCAAAGTGGAATATAGCATCTGGCAAAGCAATCTTTGGGGGTTGGTTGGAGGTAAAAAACCAAAAACAGAGTTTAAAGCTGCTGTTAAATTACTGTGCATATACTGGGAATTTCTAAAAGTTTTTATCCATAATATCATTTTGAACCACCTTTATAAACTCTTATCCAGAGAATCTCATATGTTCTGATTTCTAATTGTTATTTCAACAAGCTAAACTAGAATTCAGTTGTAAGCTTCTAACAATTCTTACTTCTTCAATTTTGATTCTGTTCATAAAACTTGAATTAAAATTTTTAGCTGAAATTGATCTTTTTAGGGTGCTAGGTGTCTATCTCTCAGACATTTCAGAGAGAGGGTTTTTTGGCTGCTGTCTCCTAACTGGATGTTTCCTTTAAGCTCTTGCGAGTAATTTCTTTAAAATCACTTTTTGCAAAAAAAAGATTTAACTGGGTTTAGCCTCCTTAGTACAAAAGAAGGGAGTCCTGCTCTGTACAGCAGTCTGCTGGCATGATCTAATCCATGAGTAACAAGAGCAATAGTGTTTTTTTTAATGCATAGCCTCATTATTACTGTTGGTTTTATTGCAGTAATGCTGTTCATTTGCACCCGTCTAGCATGGAACTATATGGTACTGATACTGCTTTCTAGCATCAATTCAAGTGAGTATTGCAAGGGGAAATGCATTTTCACAGAACCAGCAACTAATTTTAGCAGCAAGAAGTTTACTATCTTCTTCTTTTGGTAATGATTGGAAAATACTGAAAAATATTAGACAGTTAATTACTCCAGATGGGATTGATCAGTCCTGACATTTAAATACAACAAAGCATGCTTTTCCCCAACTACAGTGTCTGTTTCCCTCTTTGTTTATCTGTATGAGCAACACATGCTGCTTTTTTGATCCCTGGCAGTTTATCTTCCTTTTATTTTACCTTTGATTATAGGTTCTTCTGGGTTTTCCCCCTTTTTCTTTTTTTATCTCTCTCATACAGTTAAGGGTGTTCTTTCAATCTGTTGGGTTTTGATGTATTTGCTTACTGCATCAGGTGGCTTGAAAGAGTTAGCAAAGATTTTGGGCTGATAAATTGCGCTCACACCAGAAGCTAAATTTGGTCCTGTGACGTGTGTGTAAAGGATCAGCCCACACATTAAGCTTGCATTTGATCCTTTATGCATTGAGAAACCAGACTTCAGAGACTACCTTTTCAGATCTTGGTGAAAGGCTCTTGGTTGCTGCAAAGCGAAATGTTTTCATGGGGTGAGTTTATGTGTGAGCTATAATATAGATATAAATGTGATTCATAAGTATGTGGTGCAGCTGAAGCTGATTGGCAGTGTTCCGTCAAACCTGTGTGTGGGACTTTTATCACTTTAAACTCAGAGTCATGTGCAGGACCACCGTGGTAATATTTTCACATAATTCTTACCTAACTGATTGTGTGATATCTTACAAACTTCCTGAGAAATCCTTACAAAATCTTTAAAATTTTCTGTTCTTCTCTCTTGATTACAGGGGGACTGTGACATAATTGTTAGTGTGAACTTTGCTGGTCACATTTCTGTTATATCAGGTTTCAGATTCTCTATTTGACATACATTAAATTCTTCCTATTCTGATGCCTTTTTTTTTCCCCAAGGGAGTTTTGTATGGCACAGCAGAGGCAATTTGTGCCCCAGGACAGAGAATTCATGCTCCTGATGCTGCTAGCTGAAAAATAATCCAAAAGACTGAAGTTGTTCAACACCTTTAGTTTTTAGTTAGGCCATGATCTTGCTTCTGTTCGCGGGAGCTATAAAACCATGAAATGGCTTTCAGTAAACTTCATAACTGAAATCTATTAAAGTTGTGATGGTGTAAGTTTCTCATAGCGAGGAGAAAAAAAAAGGCAAGCAAATAGGAATACTGGGTTTCTTGGTTTCTTTTTCCCTCATTGTGCAATGGTTGATTGCCAGTGGAGTCCCACTGTGATTTGCACTTTTGGTTTAATGAAAAAGAGATAGTGAGGCAGCAAGGTTTACTGAGGCCTTTTTTTTATTTAAGTAAAAATAAAAGGCAATTGAGACATCCCAGAGCCACGAATCACTAGGGTTTGGGAAAATACTCCGGTACCTCTATATTCAGGGATGTTTTGCTCTTACCTAAATGTTGTAGATTACTGTCTGAAACAAGATGTTGGTATAGAAGCATGTTTGGCTGTATCTGATAAAGCTACCTTTCCCAGTGTTTTGTGTTTCAACTGGGGAATGATCTTTAAAGCAAAGGCTAAAATCTCTGCTTGCCTATGTAAGAGAAATACTTCTACAGATACAATATGGTTTTCATGTAACCTGCACCTTGTATGTGAACAGTAAGGCTTTTTACTTTGACAGTTCCTATCTGAATGGATTCTTTAATTAAAGTTTCATAGCTTTAGTTCTTTACTCATTGTGGTTCATGAAGCAATTTGAAGTCATAGAAGTGAATGCAACAAAAAGACATCTATGCTTAACCTTGCTAGCCTTCTGTAGTCAATGATTTATAATGACTATAAATGCCTTCATAATGAAAGATAATGAGTATGAAAATGTCATTGCATTTAATTAATTATGGATATTTTGATGGTAATGAGCTAATCATTATGAGCTTTCAGGCTTTGCACCACTACCTCAGCATGTGTTAGAAAAAAATGAAGTGGCACCCCCTGTACTTACGAAACTGAAAGATGCATTTGAGCCTTTCTTAAGATTCTTCAGGCCAGTGAGTAAGTGTCACTTCATCACTGCAGCATTGTTTCTCTTGTCCCTTTCCCTTTCTTGTGTCTTGCTTCTAGTTCATCCTCCCGCTCCTACTTGGCAGCATTTAATGTTTTTAAAACCCCCAGTCTGATACTGTAAAACTCACTAGATTCTTCAAAATGGTATTGTTACATGGTCCTTTGGAGCAATGAAATTTTGCTTCTGCTGCTTTACTACCCTCCTACAAATCCCTTCTTTGTCAGTGATGTAATTGCACTAGAAATGTTGTACAGTTTGCTGTAGGATCCACCTTTGATCTAAACTACTTCTCTAGTCTTCCCACATACACATAGGACAAAAAGAGCAATTTGGCACATCCTAAATGAGAGAAGGATTCCGCACCATGGCACTCACTGTTGGCTAGGGAAGGATCCAGTGCCGTTAGCTTAGACTGGACTACTGAAGTTAAATGCCAAGAACTAATTATTTCATAAAATTGAGACAGAAAATGCAATGCTGATTTGCTAATATCAATAAGAAAGATATCTTCAAATAGGGAAGTGGTTTGGCATGTACAAAAATGGCAAGATTTGTAATTGGATCACAGATAGAAAGGAGAAGTGGAGATATGGTGGAGTTTGAGATCTTCACAGTGGTAAGGAGGGTGCATAGCAAGCTGTCTAAACTGGTCTTCAGGAGATCAGACTTGGGTCTCTTAAGGGATCTGTGTGGTAGAGTACCATGGGATAAAGCCCTGGTAAGGGACAAGGGGCTTGAGAAAGCTGGTTAATATTCAAGGATTGCCTCTAAGCTCAGGAGTGATGCATACTAACAAAGGAGGTTGTGGGATGGAATACTAGGAGGCCTGCATGGGTAAACGAGGAGCTCCTGGACAAACTGCAGCACAGAAGGGAAGCCTACAGAGGGTGAAACTAAGGTAGCCTGGGAAGAGTATAGAGAAACTGTCCAGTCAGCCAGGGATCGGGTTAGGAAAGCTGAAGCCCTGACAGAATTAAATCTGCCAGGGCTGTCAAAGGCAACGAGAAAAGCTTCTACAGATGAAAGGAAGATGTGGGGAAAACGTGGGCCCTCTCCAGGAGGAAATGGGAGATGTGATTATTTGGGACACAGGGAAGGCTAAGGTACTCAATGACTTTTTTTGCACTGGTCTTCACCAGCAAGTGCTCCAGCCACACCACCCAAGTAGTAAAGGCAGAGGCTGGGAGAGTGAAAAACCATCTGCTATACAGGATGATAGGTTTGAGACCATCAGTAACTGATTGAATATCTTGGGCATTTGGTCCTACAAGCTGATTTTTCAGGTGCCTGCAGAAACATGCAAATAGTGCCAAACAGAGATGGTTTGCTGCAATGTATCGTATGTTTGCTGGAACCTTAAAAAAATAATAAATATTAAATTTGTTTTCTTTTTTAATTAAACAGTCCTCTCAGAAAATTGTCTTTCCCATTGATTTTGCAAACCTAAATGCAAAAAACCTGTACAACGATGGTTAGATTGGGTTTTGTAAATGTTTCATAAGAAGAAAAGCAAATTACAGAAGATTTTGGAGGACATTTTAGCTTTCCTGTTAAATTTAATATAAAGATTAGTTTTGGGGAAAGAGCATACATGAAAATCAATTATACTTTTTTTTTCAGGCAGATTTGTCTTATGAAAACATACTAGGGACTTTAAAATGCTAACTTCCCTCTGAGCATTGTTCCTAGAATAGAGATCTTACATATTATTTCTTTTTCTTTAAAGCATGCCGTCACAGAGAAGGACAAACCTTAATTCCTTGTCATGTAGGAGTGGGCCTTAACACAACTAAATGCTTGGAAAATAAATGTTGTCCTTTCCAAACCAGCTATGAACCAATTTGTTATACGCCATTTAAAGACAGTAAGTATATTTCTGTAGGTAACTACCTCATAGCCAAATGGTGCTTCTGGTCAGACAATGTGATTTTCATTTCTATTCCTCCCTTAAGTTTTTCATGTCACCACTCTCTTCAATGTAAGAGTAAGCTTGCATTTGTTTCTGAGTATGTATATTAAGACAGAAAATAATTGATTCAAAGAATTATCTGGATATCTTGTTAACCCCAGCACAATCAAAGAATGTGATACAAATAAACCTAGTAAAATATGTTATAAAGAATGAAGACTTTATTTGTGGAAAGGGGGGATTAATCCAAAGTAGTAGTGGCTCTGTGAAAATGCTATCAAGAAAAGGTGGGGAAATTGGATGTATTTAATTTGGGGAAGAGGAGGCTAATTGGTTGCTTAATAGGTACTGAAGCCTGTTTAGGAGGGCAGTTTCTAAGATGAGCAAGCCACAAATGCTTGGTAGAACCAGATAATAAAACAAGTGGGAATTAGCACTAATTGATTTTTGGGAAATTTAGCTTGGACATTAGGTGGGGGAAAAAATTCTTCAGGAAAGTAGTGCAACTCTAGAACAATCAGAAGTAATCAGAAAGGTGCTGGAGTCTCCATTGTTGGAGAGTTTTCAAGACCTGGTTAGGCAAAGGCACAATTTGACCTCATTTTGTTGGTAACCTTGCTTCAGGAAGAAGGTTTATCAACAAGATCTGCAGAAATCTCTTAATAGCTAACCCTTTTTGTGGCTCGGTTCTCAAATTCTAGCCTGAACATAGTATTTTACCTTGTTTTTTTTTAATTTGAGCATAGGTTTGGTCTACATGGATTTTCTTCTCTCTCAGGTGAAAGAATGCAGCAAACTTTTTTGTATGTGCTGCCTTTGCACATAACTGTGGTAGTCTCTGCTTCACTGAAAGGGTTGTATTAAATCTTAACATTTTTCCTGTTTATACAGCTTTGGTAGAGAAAGTTGCTTTTCACAGTGAAGTTGCTTCAAAAAACTGAAAAATACAAGGAAGTTAGAGGCTCTTTATTATGCACAGAATTATTGGTGTTGAAGGGACCTCTCAAGAACATACAGGCCAATCCTCCCTACTCAAGCAGGGTCAGTTGCAACAGGTTTCCCAGGGGCTGCACTATAGCAAGAAGGAAAGCTGTACAGTGAAAATTACAGTGCTTCTGCTCATTTGAAGGGCACATGCTCAAGCATATGTTAAAATTAAACATGCTTATTCAGTTGTGATTCCTCATTCCAGTTAAGCTTTTATTGTTTGGGCATAAATATCAAGGGCTGACTATTTTACAGAATTATTTGCTCATAGATTAATTAGTTACTAGAGTGCTCCTGGATGTACAACATATGTCCAAAGAAAATACAGACATTTACTGCCCTGGGAGCACATGCTGTTTGTCTCTAGCAATCTGTTGACAAAACAGAAGTGCTTAGCAGATACTAAACTCATGGCACTTGTGTTTCTGTAAGATGGTCACAGGCTATGTACTCAAATGGTTCTTATCTGGGAGTTTTGTCTTGAATTTCACTAGGAATAAAATGCTTTAAGAAAATGCTGCAAAAGTTGTGAACTGAAGTAGGTAGATAGCATTCATTTGCATGATTTTGTCTCTGTTCCTAAGGATGCAAAGAAGTTTCTAAAGGACTGTGTTATCCCCCCACCCCTATGCCTGGGGCTCACTGAAAACCCAGTTGCTTCTGAAACTAAGCAAACTTGGGCTGTTCAAATGCATGTCAAATTTGAGACTTGATCTTTCTCACCTGAGTTCATTTCTAAGATCTGCTTTTTTTCATTGTGTTGTTAGCTGAGATATATGCATGTCTGTTTTAGAGGTTAATCTCTGTCATCTATACCTCAATATGTATCTGGTATATATTGGAATGATTCACATCCAGTATAAATGGAATGATTCGCATCTAATGCAAACCTCTGCTGACTCTACAGATATGCTACTGACATTTCGACTGATTGTGCTTGTGGCAGGAGGATTTGTAATTATGGGGTGTCTACCACTCTGTTGCTGTGCCATTTTGCAGAAATGGTAAGCATGAGAGCACAACCAGATCAAATTTCTAATGTACTGCTGCTAAACACAGAAAATATGGATAACAGACATATTTGAAGCTGGGGAGAAAAGACTGGGGGAAAAAGGCAAGAAACTAATGTGCAAACATAAGTGAGTCCTTTGATTTTGAAGCTACATGAAACAGCATCAGTTAGGCTTAAGAAAAAAAGCTTGTTACTGCCCCAGTACTCTTTCTGAAGACCCAGTTATAAAGGAATTGTACTTAGTCTTACTTCCTTGGCTTGAGAAGTTGCATGTAAACCATGAAGGCCAATATCCTGAGGTATGGAAGACTTGGCTTTTGCTCCCTTGACTCTCCTGTATTTTCCACCACTTTCTGCCCCTGTTCCCCACCAAAGGCTAGTATATCCATCTGTGTTAGTGGAAGTTGTTTTCCGTTTTCCTCTGTTTGAAAGCAACTCCAGCAACTGGCAGGTGTGGGCAAAAAAAGGTGGCAAATGAGACTTAAGAGCAAATCAAGCTGTTGGGCAGCTCAGAACACTGCATGCAGCCCAACCTATTCAAACCAAAATAGGTTTGTAGGACACTGTGTCCTGAGTGTAAAGAAAACCCAGAACAACAGAGAAAAAAGAAAGAAAAAGGAGGGAAAAAAAAAAGGAAGTTTTGAGGAAAAGTCAATTTCATTTTGTAATGTACATTTAAACAGAAACAAGTGAGAAAACATTCTGCCACATGTCCTAGCCCTCAAAAATCATAGGGAGGAGGGAGGCAACAATGGTCCTTTAACCACTGCCTTCTAAGGCACTTCTGCAAAGTGACATGCGCAAGGAATGAGTTATCTGAAAGGTAACAGGGAATAAATGAATTTGGAAAAGCAGTTTGTAAAGAGCGGTCAGTAGGAATGTGTCTTTGTGGAATAGACCTAGAGTTATGCAGTAAGACACAGAAGGAATGAACAAAGTAGTAGGCCTAAAAGGAGTATGAGAGCTGAGCTGGGAGCATGCCTGGGAGAAAAGCAAATTAACTATCTCTAATGCTTCTAATGTGCAGTGCATCTTTTTTTAATGTATGGGGCACATTACAGCCTGTGAATGCAATGCAAACAGTTAAGTGTTTGATGTTGTGAAGAGTTTTGGCATGTGTATATGTTGTTATGATAATGGGAAAATGTAAGCTCCACATCATCAAAATTATTGAACTGAAACTGTGCTTTATTTTTCTAAGGTGGTAGTTGATATTGAATAACTAATGCTGTAGCTTGGTAAATATGACATATATTATACAAACTATTATATAAATATGTCCTTTTTGTAAAGTTTTTTTTTTCTTCTGTTAAACTTTTGCTAAGACATTAGTAGTCTGTGTGGGAGCATACACATACACATACACGCACACACATAGACTTTACTAATGTGGCTGACTAGCAGATGGCTATTTGCTGTGGAGTTCCACATTTAGACAAAACCTGCTGTGAAAATCTCCACATTACATCTTACACTGTGCTCAACAGCTGATGTTCAGCATACATATAGCTGCACTGAGTCATCAGTGACTCTGAAAACAGGAGGCAAAGAATTAACAGGAAATTATCATAAATTTTCTGGAAAATGAATTAATATGTGTTCATTTTAAGAGAATTCACATTAATGTTTAAATGATCATTTCTGTGGGGTTTTTTTCAGCTATGACTTGGTTTTTGCTTTGTTTTTTTCAATGCAGTAATTAACCAGATGCTGAATGGTTTTAATTTGCAACACCATATATTTGAATTTGAGGAAAGGACCAATCCTATAAGAGTGTAACTTTTGAGTTTTACTAGTTTTAGAGACAACTGATAGAGGATATGGCTTTGAAAAGCATTCCTTTAATGAGCCTCAAACCTTCTCTCTGGGTGGAAATTCTTTTAACTTCAATGCTGTACAGTCCTTGTTGAGAGGGTGCTACATATGATGCCAAACTGTACTGCAGTGAATGTACACAAAAGTAAAAATTGTTCTCTAGAGTTATCAATAAACAAGAGGGATAATTGAGTAGTTCCACTGTGCTTCTTCTAGAGCAAATTCCAAGGTTTCCCATAGGGTCCTGTATTTATATTTATATAAATTTATATAAAATACATAATTTTAATATAAATGTATATGAATTATATACATTTAAAGTATATGTAATAATATAAAATATACATATAATTTATATTTTATAAATTAATTTTATCTATACTCATTTATGTGTGTGTATATATATATATATATACACACACATATATATATGTATAAAAAGAGGAAGGGAGAGAGGCCAAACTTGGCAACTGGAAAGCTTTTACAGGCGCTTGTGTTAGGGGTGGCTGTTGGCTGTTTGTTAAGAGATGCCCAGGACTAGGACAGCAGAGGTAATTCCATAACATGGCCAGATTAAGAACATGTAGATGCATGGAATTCCCTTAAAATTGATCAAGAGTGGAGTACTCCTCCCCTTGCCAGACTTGATCAGCACTAGTAATTTCTTGGATTAGTGAGGCTTTGTTAATTCCACACTGATGAGCTGTGTATTTGTCTCTTTCCAATGGTATTTTTTGTGCAGAAAGCAGTCTGCACGTGCCCATTCCCTGAAATTGGCAGCTTCTCTTGTGTGCTGTCAACATAACATCTCTTTTCTTGAGCTGGGCTCTCTGGTGCTTTTGCTATGTCTGTAACTGTGCTACACTAAGTTATTTCTGTTGTGTTAGTCTTCATTAGCATGCAATGGTGGGTCAGTTAAGATACTGAAGGTTAGGAAAATGCAGGTGCACTTCACTAATGCTGTATTTGAATAAGGTTATGTAGATCTTTTAAAAAAGAATGAGAATTAGAGAAGTCTTCATTTCCTTTGGCCGAATTCCTAGTACAGCTGTGGGAATCAGATCATAGAATTTGCTTTACTAGTTACTGGGGAAATTTCTGGTCATGGTTGCACTATGTGAATTGGAAGGTGAGCTGAAATTCATGATGAAAATGTAAGAGATGGAAAAGCATTTCAATAAGCTTTTCCCTAGCTTTAATCTGCCCACGTTCTAGAGGTAAAATCTTGTGATGGCCCCTGAAATCAACTGTAGGTTTGTGGGTTTTTTCATTGAGCTAGGATTTCACAGCTAAAATCTAAGTGATCTCCTCTAAATTCCTTTTTTGGAAGTCAGCCAATTTCAGCTGTTTTAATATGTTGCAGCCAATGTCTCAATCGTTTACGATGGGCAAACCGCAGAGTAGAGAAAATTGTGAAGGGAAGAGCACATACTGAAGATGTTCATGGCCTTTTACAAGATTGACTTAAGAAATAAGGACCATAAGAACAGCAACAAAAAAAATGTAAGCTAACCTTGGAGTTTTCTTCCATTCTTTCAGTTTAGGATTATTCTATCAGTTCTGTATAGAATACTAAATGTATGCACTACTAAATGCCTGTTGCCTCCCAGTCCAGTAGACTTTATCAAAAGGCACTGTTTCTCAGGGACCACCTTCAATTGGTGTTGTGGGAGAAGTACTGATTGATTGCTGACCCAGGATGATGAATGACAGCAGAGCAAGCCACGGGCAATATTACAGTCCTAGATTTGAGTCCTTTGCCATTTCAATGTTCCTTTTCCTATGTGCAAACTGTGTTGCATCAGAAAGTGGAAAAGCAAAGTTTCGCCACATTGAGGAGATGCAGATCCATTTACAGCCAGTAAGAGATCTGTCCTTCTGTATACATAGGGATGTTTTACAGCTAACATACTTGCACAGCTCTGCATCTTGGCATTCTTCCTCAATGCTGAAAACCAGTTGACTACTGAAATAAATGTAATCTGAATGTGAAATGTTATTTGCTTCACATGAACATGCCAAACTGTGGCCTACTAAAGACAACAATGAAATAAAGTGTCAGTGAGGTCATTATACAATAAGAAAATATTTTGGGAAGAGTATTTTTTGTCAAAAATGTAAAATGTCACTAAATGTAGTTACAATGATGTTTAGTAATAGGGGTTTTTATCTACTTTGTTGTAGAGGAACATCCACCTGATCTTGAAGACCTCAAGCAGGACAACAGGATTACTTGAGTTTGTCCTAGGAAAGATGTTTTGGCTTAGTATCAAAGTAATACAGTGTGGTCAACCCTTGATAATGCTATTGATTTTGCAAGAGAAGGTCTTAATTTTTAGTTCTTGTATGTCTATTCTTTATCTCCTGTACAAGAAAAGCTAATAACACTGAAAGGCAAAACTGCTCGTGCAATCTTGAATAATAAAGCCTATTTTGTCTAATTGATACAACATCACAGTGGAGGGATATAAAAATACCAGTTAATTGCCTGTTTCCATTTAGAAGTCAGTCTTAGAATATTATCTGGATTAAGAGAATGTTGTCATTGATTAAATTGGTAGAAAGTGGCAATCTTACTCTGTTTCACTCATCTGGATTGGATGGCACCATAGCACAGTAGTGCTACTCTTGCTGAGGAGAATGGTTAATTCGTTACCAGGCTGCAGAGGACTTGGGAATCCCATTGTTGGGCAGTTGCTTTAAAGATACATCTGGCAAAAATACAAAGTACTCAAGGAAACTGTTAGTGTTTTCTCTGTCACTGTTTCTCCATGTGGTATATCACTGCACCTCAAGACTTCGTGAGCTTTGGATGGCCTGCCTCCCAAGGGAGGTGGTTTCCAAATGCAATTTCTCTCAGTTTCCCTGTAGTGTAACAAAAATAACAGAAGCAAACATGTAACAGTTCTCAGCAGATTAGTGGAAAGTAAAAACGAGCATCTAAAAGAATGTCAGTTGAAATCAGTATTGCCCATAATAATGCAATCACTGGTAATTTTTCTCTGGGTCTCTGAACTCCATGTAGCGGCATTTCCAGGAGCTACAACTGGGAGGAATGGAGCTGTGCTTCTAAGCTGGAGCTTAAATAAAATGAGTGATTCTTCAAAGCTCTGTGTACTTCCAGGATTCCCCATTAAATACATGTTTCTTCTCTTCATCAGTCCCCAAAATAGCATCACTTAAAATCCAAGCATCATATGGGTGGAATATGCACATGGGCAGTCTCATAGTTGTCAGAGTATTTACTGATGATCAGACATAGCTATATGCGGGAGCTTTAAAGCCTGATATTGCAACCATTGACAGTAGTATGACAGATAATTTGGTTATAATTTTGGAAGCACATGTATTATGATGTTTTTAATGTGGAGCAGCAGAATGATGGAAGCTGAATAGGGCTCTTGTTTGCTTTCCAAGTCCGATATGTATTTACTGTTCTTTGATATTATTTTTAGGAATAGTGAAGTATGCATATAGACATTTTTGACACAGACAAAACCAGCTTCCTGCTACATGAATTTAGGGGCACTGTCACAGCTGATATGTGCATGTAACAAACCACACAGATCCTCGTGGCTGATAGTGATTATGGAGAGAGTTGTGCTCTGGAGAAAGTCTTTCATATGGTGCTTCATGATTTTGATTTGGAGGGTAATAAATTCCTTCTGTTTCCATGTCATTGACAGCACAACTGCTTTCAGTGTCACATAACATTCTGACAAAGGGCTGCATACTGATAACTGTATTTAACAGTAAGCAATCAATGCATCTGCAATAACTGTATCTGGCAGCACCAGAACACGATGACCATAAGCAAAATATATGCACTGTAAGAGGAGAAGGAAAAGAGAGGGTTTATATTCCCCCCTAGTGAGACAGTAGTCAAGAGCGTTGTGCATGGACTTGGGCCCTGTCCCTTTTCCATGTAGCAGGTTTGTTGTAAAGATACTCTAAAAAGCTGGAAATCTTGCTTTTCATTTGGAGATGACAAAAGCTCTGATTTTAAATTTTAATTTCTATAGTAGCTATACAGTTCCTTGAATCAACAGCTGTCAAGCATGTGTATTGCATAAATAACTGCTATCTGTGCCTCAAATGCTATAGTAGCTGTTTCATTATGATTGCAGGTCAAGTTTATCACCTTGGGATCAAATCACAGATATTCATTCACAGGCCTGTTTGTGATGCTAACTGTACCAAGATTCACATAAATGTGGATGTTTTGATCAGCTGCATGCTTCCACTATTAAATATCCAGATCCCTTTCATAATATTTGGTTTATTTTTTTTAATCCTGGACTTTAGCATACTACAGAACAATCTGAACATGGCATTACCCATGTTGTCTCCCCAGTGCTTAAACTGCTGGTGTGTATCTTCTGTACCAAACTGCATGTTGCTGAGCCAAACTCGGTTTTCTTTTGTCCTTTCCATCCCTTCAAAGATCTCAATTAGGGCCCCAGGTTAGCTGCAAGAAGGCACAAGCATTCTTATAAGGCTTCTCACAGTGCCTTTGTGGCTACTGAGAGAAGCTGCTCACAGCTGGGTGCAGTTCCCAAGTCAGCAAAGCAGAAACCTTCCACCCTCAGTCCCACGGAGAGACACCTTCAGTACTAAAATCAGAGACCACAAGATGGTGCTGCAGGAAAATCTTTTTCCCTCAGTGGTTTTGGTTTCAGGAGAGTGTTACCGATTTCTACCTTTTACAATGTGGTTCATCAAGTCACAAAAAGGCAGATAGTGTACAATAGAGCAATGGTCACTCAGGAAAAAAGAGAACATAATACAGCATATGATGACAAGGCTTTAGAAGACTTGAAAGTATAAAAACCATTGCTGGTGGCTTTAGGTCTGTTCTCCCTCCTATTGAACTGAAACACGTTGAAACAAAAGAGCCCTCAGTGGAGCATCCCGCTTTATATTCGCAAAGATTAAATAAATACAAGGCTAAACAACCTGTCCCAATGCAGAATAGCTGTGTCTGAGAGTGGATGCTGCTACCCTAGAGACAGGAGCTGTGGTAGTGCTTCGGCAGTAGTACAGCTCTTTCATCACACCACCCGGAGCCTGCACCATGTCTAATGCCAAAGGGTTTGTTGCACTCGCACCTGTAACCACAGTCTGTAAAACTAAGAGGTGGTTTTGGAAAGCTTTAAAGCAATATGAAATGCTAGCATTGCACTGCAGGCATTTGTGGCAATATCTGGTGCTTCCCTTGGTCTGACCTTTAGAAAGCTTTCAAAGTCATGAGAATTGAACTGGAAAAATAAACACAATAGAATGAAACCCAAACTTCAGAGTTATAGTGAGAGAACAGACTTGAACCGTAAAGCTCAAGAATCCAAAGCCAAATACAGATTTGTATTTAAGCAAAATCCCTGTGACTGGGGATTTGCCTCATGTTTTTTGAAGGCTTGAGGTTCAGTTCTGAGGCCTATTTCACCCAGCTGAGATTCATGCAATGCAAGATAGTGCAGATAGAGAAGGGGAATGTACTTCATTGCTCAACAAATATTTTCCCAGCTTGTCTCTGTGTAAAGGATGCAATTTTGAAACTTTAGGATCTTCTGATCCTTTGCCGACCTAAGCTTGGATGCACGGCTAAAATGAAATTCAAAAGTCTCCCTGGAGAAAGTGTTTCATGCTCTCCTGCCAGGTCCCAGTGGAGCGACTGGCTCTGTCAAGCTCAGTTTTGCTTCTGATCTTTGTCCTCCAAAACTTTTTTTGTTATCACAAAAAAATGGAAGAAATAAAAAATGTTTTTGCTAGATGAAAGTGAAAAACCATCCACAGCTGTACTCTCCTTCTGCATTCCACTGTACCGTTTCCAAGTGCCTTCCCAAAAGACATGTTTCTTACTACACTGCCTCTTCACAGAATCCACTATCCTATGTATATCTCCCATCCAAGCGGATAAATCTTTTGAGCGTGTGTGTGTGTGTTCTGTGTACAGGTAAGTGGAACAGAGCTTCACTCTGCAGCAGCCCTGTCTCTGTAATATCCACCACCATTGCTATCCTGGTAGCTTTGTGGGTTTGGTAGTTTCAGCTGGCACTAAGACAATGTGGGGAGGATGATGGCAATTCTACAAAAAGCTTCCCTCTAAGAGGGAGCGTGGCTGCGAGTGTTATCATCCTGCTGCATCCTGTCCCCCTGATTTTCAAGTGTATGATTTTTGAGTCTGTAAGGCTGGAGCTGTTCAATATTCCACCTAGTGCAGCTCATCGGCTGAGTTGAAGTGAACTGATAAAAGAACTTTTAGAAAAGGAATTTTCTGATTGATGCATCTGCTTGGCCTGCCATTTAGCACTGCACTTCTGCACAGCCTCCTGTTAAGCTTTTTACTGGCTCTCCAAGCTTTTACCATTTTCTTATTTGAGGTACTTGATCCAGCACTAATACACATGATCTAAATGTAGGATGGAGGAACTAACCCAACAAAAAGAGAACAGATAACAAGCATCCTGTGTTTAGGATTTACTGGACAGCTAGGAGATCTGGGGAGATAATATGCCTACAAAATGCTCTTGCATACATTTCCTGTTAGGGGAGCCCTGCTTCAGTTAAATGCTCCAGGTAAGTATTATTGAAAAGCAATTTCTTCAAATAAACATGTCCTTGCAAATTGCAGTAGCTAAGCATGTAAGAACTGTGATTGGCTAT